GTCAGGCATTTTGAATTACATTTTGAACAAAGTTATAAGCCAATATCGTAATATCCCTATTAGCATTTACAATTTATTTCTATTTTCCTTGTCTAAGGACATGATAAGCATTAATAAGATTGTCCTACACAATCTAAACATTGGATATCACATTTTTAACATGATATTGATGAACCGTCATCGAAATATCCAAATAAACATTTACATGCATTATTATAAAATACTCTTTTAGTAGTATTAACATCTATACAAGAAATACACGAATTTGCATCTCCAGAATTACAACCTAAACATGAATAGTGGCATTTTTAACAATTTTCAACTCCAATATCATAATATCCAATATTACATTCGCATGAAAAAAGCAGATCATTATACATTCTATTTGATTGAATTGAGCATATTTCACATTTTGTTTCAATATCATTACATTTGAGACATGAAAAATGGCATTCTTAAATAATTAGAAATCATATTTACTTTAGCAAACCTCATTCTATCCATCATCATAATATCCTTGAATACATTGACATCTATTAAAAACTGAAACTAATAATCTCAAACTGTTATCCTGACAAGAAATACATCTTTCAGATTACTTTTGACATCCTTTACATTTATAACTACATTCTATTATAAGAACCATTTTTTACTTTCACAAGTCGGCAATCCTGCATCAAAGTATCCTTCTTTACAAACACAAGTATTTCCTACTTAGAATCTGTTATCAGTATCCATACAAGAAATACAATTTCCTTAATCCATTCCAATGCATGTACCACATGAATAATGGCATTCTAATTTTTATTTTATAAAATACTCTAGCATATAAGCATTCCATTAAAATCAAATGTACTAATTGCTGTTCCATGTAATCTAGTTTTACATTTGCATGTATTTCCATCTAAGTATCTATCATCATTACATGAAGTACAATTTTTAGAATTATTAATACATTCATAACAAAATGGGCTACAAGCTATTTTAGATCTAATATTTACTTGCACATTCTTAAACTTCCATTTCAAAGTAATTTGGTTAGCATTAACATAAATTATTTTTAAGTTCTCTATGTAAAATAGATTTGCAGGAGAGACATTCATTCTGTTCAATTCCTTAACAGGTTTGACATTTGAAATGGCATTCTTTAATTTATTTTTATATTACTTAGACAAGTTATCTCATTTTCTTTATCAAAGTATTCCTCTGAACAATAACATCCCTTTATAGGATCAAGTATACGCATCGAATTTAATGGACAACTCAGACATTTATCCGGTTGAATGTCACATGTCTCACATTTATATGAACATTCTAATAGATATTAATAAGTTTATAATTACTTTAACATTTAGCGATTCCAACTTCCTCATAATATCCATCAACACATTTACAAACATTGCCTTTCAAAACTCTAAGATTAAGGTCAAATTAACACATGATACAACTTTCTGCATGATTATCGAAACATCTGTGACAAGAATAATGACATTCTTTTAATAATGAATAAATACTACCTGCACATTCTAATTATCCAATATCATAATAATTTATTGGACAAACACAAAATGATAATTCCAATTATCTATAATTTGTATCACATGTTAGACAATTAGATGAAAGTGGACCATAACAAGTTTTACAGGATTAATCACATTATTGACATTATAGTGAAAATCCATCATCAAATGTATTTGAATCTGTACAAAAGCATTCGAAGTAACTTCCTGACGATTAAGCTGTTCTACTAGTAGGACATTCTAAACATGCATCCTTTTCAGTACTGTTTGCACATATTAAACAAGAATGATGACACTCTATTAATCGCATTTAACTAAGTACTTTAACATGTTATATTCTCAGTATTATCATCAAAATACGATTATTTACATAAACATTCTCCCAAAGGTGTTAATTCTCTTTAGGAAGTTTCTGAGCATTATGAACAATTTGTGGCTTCAACATCATAACAATTTCCACATGTATAATGACAAACTATGTTAAATTTATTCATGTACCAATGCAAACTTCTAAAGTACCCTCAAAATCACTATAATTAACTTCACAATCACATTTAAAAGTGTCTGAAACAACACGATTTTACCCAGGAATACAAGTAAGACAATATTGGTTTTCAGATGCATCAGAGGGTTAGAAACACGTTAAACATTTTTCATGACATTCTAAAATTAATTAAAAGTAATACTTCCACATGTTTATTCCTTAACTTCATATTCAGAATATCCTGTTTTACATTGACAAACATTTCCAATTTAAATTCTGTTTGAAATACTTTCTTCTACACAATCAATACATTCTTACATTAATGAACCAAAGCAATTTTGACAAGATTTATCACAAACTAAAAATCAATAACTAATTTACCAAGACAAATTTAATCATCATTTTCAGGGTCGTATGTACCTGGTTAGCAAATGCATTCTTTGTTTATTAATATTCTATTTGATTCTGGTTTACATGAAGTACATTAATAAAAATCATCACTTTCACAATTATGACAATAACCATCTGCACAAAGTGTGCAAATTCCTTCTAACAAACCATAGTATGGTTTGCATTTGCAGATACCATTATCAGCTATTTATTTCAATATACTGTAGCAAGTTATACACTATTTGTGTTCCTTTGAGTAAAAGAAATTTGGATCGCATAAAGTACATGTTGTATAATAATACATTCTGTTGTCTTTTTAATAATCAAATATCATTGATTATCTTGAGGGGTCACAATTCCAATCCTTCTTATAACAACGATAGTCAGTTCCAGAGTAAACCTTTTTTTCGTATCCTATCAGGCAACTTTCACAATTATATGCATTTATAGTTGATGGGATAGCATATTGACAAGGTGCAATATCTAAAAAAAATATTCCTAATAAAATTACTCGAACAATAAGTTCCTTATTACATATATCCTTCCAAACAATATGGAAGTTCAACAAATCTGCTATGAATGTAATCGTAATAACAATATACATGGCCATAACAAGCTGTCCATATAAATATATATTATAAAATACAATAAGAGCAATGCATGTTAGACTACTTATCTTTTTCTTGATACCCTCTCCTACATTAAGTACAAACTTAATCTTCAGAACAAATATTACAATGTCCATTACAAACTTTAATAATTATATGATAATACTTCTTTCATTGGGCATCATATATCTTTCATCGTAGGAATCTAAAACTTGATCACAACCAAAACCATTTCCATAAAATGGAAGTTTACAAATCTAGCATCGAAATAAACCTTTCTGATAGGCGGTAATCAAACATTTATTATGTTTACCATCTGCAAAATCTAAAATAATAGAAATTTATACTTACTTTTACAATAATATTTATAACTTTCATCAGGTAGCTACTCGATTACTAACGAAACGCCAACACTATATCCACAATGAACCATATATTAGTCTAGGGTTGGAGTCCCTGCTCCCCAAGGTTAAAATCTGGGATGACATTAATGTTTAGTTCCATCTACTTCAGTTTTTACTTATACTTCTGTAACACCTTTACAAATAGAAGCATAAGCTATTAATAAAGCTAATATGTACAGACACATTCATATGGATTCATTCCTTTCATAAATACATGGAATTTAGGACACTTTTGGTCATCAATTGCGAAACCTAGAGCATCATATGACGATGAGTCGTATTGTCTCCATCCAAATACTTCTATAATAAGAATTAAGCTAATCAAAATCATAATTAAATTTTAATTATAAATTATTTGAGAATCGGAAGATAAATAATTGGGCAGTTTTGTCTTAAAATGAATAAAAAATCAAAATTTTTTAGTTTTGATTAGATGTTAATTATATATATGGGTTTTTTTCTAAATAATGGATTACAATTGAAATCATATAACAAAGCTAAATGGTATTGATTAAATGTAGTTTTATTTTGGATCAATCAGATCAGATTATTCTGTTAATTATTAATAAAAGTAATTTGCTTAATCAAGGTTTTCTATGTAAATAACATTAGCAATTTGTAAAATTGATTTTATTACACTTATTTTATTCTGAAATTTATCCTTTCATTGTTTTCAAATTTTAAAGTAATTAAATAGTATAAACTACAAGCCAACCTAATAATATGTCTAAAATTATTAAAATTTTGTTATGCAAAAACTTGTCCAAAATTACTAGTAACCTTAGAATATGAAAAAAAAAGATAATTAACTCAAAATTCTGGTCAAAATTGCTCTAAAAATAATTTTTTATAACATAAAAGAAATTACATAATATTGGTTATTGTAAAAATTATTTTATGTTTTTTTGGCTTAACACTAATAATTAAAAATAAACCAATGAAAATTCTGAAATAAATTAAAAAAGAAAAAAATCAACTCCTCAAAAAATAATGGAAAAATATACTGGATCAAATAAAAGATAATATTTATCCAGAACTATTAATACAGGAGCATTTCCTACCCTTCTACACAAAATAAAATTATTCCTCCTTCTAAACTTTTGATATTTTACAAAATATATCCAATTATTTCAAGTTTTTTCATCACTCGTTATTGACACTTAATTAATTTTTATTTTCACTAAATATTGGTCATATCACTAATTTTGTCTAATTTTTTCGCAATATATTTGAAAGCATTTTTCTAATGGTATCCAAAAATATCTATTATTTATTCTAAAATAGTCTTAATAAATAAATGAATAAATAAATAAGAATTTATTACATAAGTGTTGTGGTTTGGTGTATTAAAACTTTAGCATAAAAAATTATAAACTTTAAAATCTGTAAAAATAATAACAAATTATGTTATTAAGATACAAAATAATGAATCATTAATAAATTTTGATCAGATTTGTACTTTCTCCATTATACAAGAATGATTTTTCATAATATAATATTATTTAAGGTGAAACTATGCTTAGAAAATTTACTATATAAGATATAATATCTTGCGATTGATGATTAACATATTGAAGTAATAAATAATTTCAATATGGACAATCCAGATGATTAAACATTCTCAATAAAGAATCCTAATGCTCAAACCAGATTTGTAGTTTTGACAAGTATGCATTATACAGGAGCAATCTATTTTCTATTATTTGTAATACTTGATAACATACTTAAATAAGCCAAATAACAACCAATTCAGTTATAGTGAGTATAACTAAAGTGGTTGGAAAATTTACAAATCATCAATAAATTGGTTATTTTGTTGTTGGAATTTAAGAAGCATTTATTAATTTAGGATTAAAGACAGTAACTGGAACGTTTAGTAGTGGACTACATACAATATAACCAAATAGATGGTTTTCAATTGCTACACAGGGCTTCAATTATCCAAATACTTAAAATATGAGAGTAAGAGCAACATTTACAAATTTACCAACAACCATTTCATATACTTGAGGCTTCTGTAAATTTTATAAAAATTTGAAAAGGGTATGAAACTGACACTCCAAATAGCCATTCAAACCATTGGAATGTTTTAGTATAAGAATAAGTAGAAAATAAGCTTGGATTTAAGCATCTTACCAACATTTTATTTAGAGTTGGTTTAATCTAATTAAATTTATACTACTAATGGAAACTATGATTATTCGGTTGATAAATCAATTATTAAACCTAAAATGAATATTTAAATTAAATGTGAAAATGGAAAGAAAATTAAAGCAGATTTTAATAAATGCAATTCTTGTAGTATTTAAAAGACTTATTAATTTACTTATAATTGTTTTAATTAAATGAATTATGTTGGTTTTTACCCTGTATTTTAATAGGAATTACCATTATATAATCATTTAAAAATAAATATGCAAGCATCATCCCTTGAAATTACAAATATTGTTTACGATTAAATGATTACAGAAAAGACAATTGTGAAAATTTTAATATTAAATTAATGAGTTAATAATATTAAATCAACATCATAATCAAAAACTATATAAGAATAATTATAATATTAATAAACTCTATTTATTTTTTTCATAATTGTATTCATTTGCACTAACAAAAGAAATTATTAATTGTTAGTTCTTCTATTGTAATTATTATTCAATTAAAATATCCTTTGTTTGCTCTTGTTGAATATTTTATAATAATTAAGAATTAAAATACACCATTCAAATGTCAATCCTATTGAACAACTTATTAAGAAGTTCATATTTTCAATTTATTAGCAAATGTATTTTTTAATCATTGATAAAAACTATCAATATAGAAATAATAATATTGTGAATTAAGAAAGATATAAGGTATTAATTAATAAATTGAAATAGCTTAACTATAAAATGATTTTATTCACATGCTTAATTTAATTGTAAATTAATAGCATCATTAACTCAGATGCATGAAAAGATTGTAAAATTCAATAGATATTTTCAATATCAATAAATCCAAATATTTATAATAAAGAACAGTTAAATGAGATCTAAAATTTAAAAAAAATATAATTAACATAAATAATATTCAGAAGATGTTAATGTATTTCAAACAATCTATTTCTTAAAACAAACCAAGTTTTTAGTAAACTATTTATATTTTTTATAATAATTTTGATTATGATATAAGTATAAATTTCAGAGATCACTTTAATTATAATGGTTTATTAGATCTAATATAATCTTTTCTGAAAAAGGTGTAATACGATTTAGAGAAATCTTTAGTTTTTCTTCGTTCACCTAAGTAATTTCTGATAAAATTCTTGTATTTAATCCTCCATATTTTAAGAAAATAATGTCTGCAGCAATTTTCACCGTTATTGCCACTTGTAAATTTTATTCTAATCTTCCAATCAAATAATTTAACTATTTTTTTAAAATTACACAAGCCCCAGAAACTTAATCACAAAATCCCAATTTTTCACAAACAAATGAGAAATTACTGGCTTGCTATTTATCAATATGTTTTATCATTTATTCCAGTTTGCTATCAAGTTTAGGCAGTTTCTTTCCAAACTCTTTTAAACAATATAATATAACTCCACGAGCTGCTGTTTAAGTATTTGGTAATGGAATTTGCTTTATAATTTTGATTGCCTTTTTTTCTATTTCAAAATCCAAATTCAACTTGAATATCAAATGTTAAACTTCCTCTAGCAATGGCATCTCAACTTTATTTGTTAAGAATCCCTCATTGAATTTTGGGATAGGAGGTCTTTGATTTATCATTAGTTGTTTAATTGTTTTTTAAAGCTCAATTGCTTAAGAAATTTTAATTGATGACTTAATTCAAGACAAATGATTACGTTTTGATTAAGTTATTTATCAATTTATAATAATCACAAAATTTTTAAATTTCGTTATACATCCTAATATTGCCCAAGCAGAGTGTCCAAAAATCAAAATATTGTATTTCTAATCTGCAGTAATTATCTATTTTTTTATTTAGAAAACTCTTTAGAATACATTTCATAATAATTTTCACAATTCATTTTACAACTCTCTAATTCTACGCTATTACATAAATATGAAATTGAACGATATTGATTTATTTCTAAAAGACAATTCCCATTATTCTTGATTAAATGGTTGTTGTTAATTTTATAAATAAATAAAGTATTATAAAGCAAACTGGATCAATTGTATTGTGAGCTTATTTTACTAATAATAAGAATATGAATATATTATGTCTATCATTCGCCAAATAAATTAAGTTTTATTTGATTCAAAAGTTCCTTATTTAAGTCAATATCTTTCTCTTCGAAGTTTAAATACTAAATCTTAGCCTTTTCTTCCAAATATTTTTATTATCTCCATTATTTTTTTATTTCTATCTCATTTTATATTCTTCTTTAAGTCTTAGTCATTTAATGCTAATCAAACAATTAATTATTATAGCTCTTTAATAATATAATAATATATCATTTTACTTTTACAATAGATGCTTTGAATTTCGAATATGTTGATTTTATTGCAGGATTTAATCTTAATGGAGATCTCGATTTTGGTTTTTCAGATTTGTATGAAAACTAAGGTTGCTCAAATATAGGATATTTACAAGGTTTCGGAACTTTATCATCTAATATCTTCGAATGGATAATCCGTTATTATAATTAAGGCAAGGACTGAGAATTAATTAAACTTGATTTCATATTTTATAATTTTTAACTAATTGTTTATGTAAATCAATGATTTGATCAATGCTTAGTATTTGATTATAACAATTTTTTCAATTCTTAATGTTTATGAAATTATTACTCATATTTAAACTAGTTATATATTATTCAAATATGAAGTTAAAATTTATCACCTACTTGGCCCTTTTGATTTGTATTCAACATTTTAAGTCTCTCTTTTTTTAATTCAACAGGTTCAATATTATTTTAAAAGTTTCTAACATAAGGGGACTTATGAATCATTCCTGGAAGTAAAATTTTACTACCAAAAGAAGGAACTGATTTTTAATTAGATTTATTATTCATAGCCTTTTCAAATCTTTATTATTAGTATTCTTATCTAAGTCTATGAAGTTTTCTCAAACTTATATCATTCTGCAGATCTCCATTATTCTTATTAATACTGTCTCTACCTGATCCTAAATCCAGTGAACGATTTATATATTTCCCTTTTTCGGATTTACTGTTGGAACTTGGAGGGTGAAAAGAAGGAGGGCGATTCAAACTAGAGGAATATTTCTATGCTACCCTATATTTCATTGGATCATTCATTTTATCTAATTAAATATCAAATAATACTACTTGAATGTTGTGTGTTTGGAGATTTGCTTACTTAGTTAATATAAACTACTGGTGGCAGTTTTAAATGCGATTTATTTTTTGAATATCTATTTATAAACATAGTTTACCTCTAAATACTATAAGTTTACCCACCTTATAATTAATAGTAAGGAGAATCCACTCCAGGCAAGCTTGGTACTTAAAAAATATTAGAGTTATTAGGATACTTTTTTTAGAACCATTTGATTTTTATATAGTACTTTAAACAATTTTAGCTTATTATTTATTTATCTATGTTCTTAATTATTTGACTTATTCATCTTAAATTTATTCCTAATATTTCCTTTTCTTTTCTAAAATTTTTATCTCTACAGTTTCCTAACTAAATTTAATATTTTACAATTTTAAAATCACCCTATTTCATTATTCCATTTAAATAGTTATTGTAATTAGAATCCTGAATTTATTAAATTTATTTTTAAATATCAACCTTTTGCATCTCATATTCTAATAATTACTATTCCAAATCATCTTAACTTCTTTTGATTATAGCTTTTTAAGTTTTTGCATTATCTATTCTCTCCTGCAATCTCATTTATTCAAATTTGTCCTGTGTTCTTCCTTTTTAAAATTATAAAAACCCAATATTTTATTAAAAATGATTTAACTACTCCTCCATTTCATATATTTTATTTTTTGTTTCAGTAATATCTTCAATATTTTGGTTAATAATAGATTCTAATTATTTTGCCTATTATTTTAAACTTAATTGAGGAACTGGATGATTCTTTTAGTTTATCGATGGTAGTTCTAAGATTTGTATTTCAAATAATACTTAACTATTTAGTATTTTGACTATATTGTTGTTATTGAATTAACAATTTTAATTCCTCATTTTCCTATCTTAAATTTTAAATCAATTAAGCATAATTGCTTATATGATTTTATGCCATTAAGACATTTCGGTTAGCAACTGTCTTTATATTTTTAGCTCTATTAGCATAAACTAAAGTATTATAAGTTTCTTCAAAACAACTAACAGCAGAAGTAACATTAGAGATCATGACAGTACGACAATTTCCTCCCAAAGAATCCTTGAGAAGACGTGTAAGTTTTGAATTACGAAATGGTATAAATGGGTTTTTTATACCTTTTTCATTTGCTTCTGATAGGGATTAAATACAATTGCCTAACACTAATAAAGACTTGTTTATGTTAGCTCCTTCAATCATTCTTTATCCTTTATTATTTGTATTGGCTGCTCTTTCACTACCAGCCAAGTCTACTAAGCTAAATTTACTTTATATAATTTATTCATGTAATCCAGCAGCTCTATCTTTGCTTTCAACCTACAGTTACAAAATAGCATGAGATCTTGAAGATTCTTTGTTTGCATCAGTAGCCTCTTTAGAACGATTTTTGTTGCCCACTTTTAAAAGTGCCAAAACTTCTGAAACTGTTTTCACTTATACATCTGTAACACCTGCTATTTATATGCCATTATTTTTATCTTCTCTTATATCTAAATTTTTATCTTCGGATGTTAGCAGATCTCTTATGTTTTCGTTGTAAATCTCTACATAACAAACCTTAAACTAAGTATTTTTAAATCGATCTTATATTGAAAAATTAAATAGTTGTTATAATGCTCTTGGCATCAATCCTACTTCCAGTTGAGTACCTATCATTCTAATAATTATAGATTAAATTTACGTAAACGTTTTTCCTGATCCTGTCGCTCCATAGCAAAATACTGTTGTATTGTAACCTTCAAACACTCCCTCTAACAAAAATTCAGTAGTATTTTCATAAATCATTTATTAAGGAGCCCATTAATCAAAAACAAAATCAAATGCAAAATTAGTTTCTTTAAGTCTATTTTTTCTTAATAACTATTGTAATCTATCGCAATACATCCTCATCTCTTTCTTATTCCGGATCCATAAGAACAATCATTTTATTATCCAAAATTTTAATTGTCTCAAATTCTGATAGACTCTTCTCCTTTTAACTTAAAGGTCTAACTCTAATTGCTACCTGAACATTATTTACACAAATATACTAAGATGTTACTAACTCCATTTTTTAATTCATCGATAAATTTTTTTGTCTCCATCTCAAATTAGTTCATTAGAATTATTATATAATTATTATAAATGAGTGTAATTCTAAACATATTGAATTATTACAAATGATTCAGTTAGCTATCCTAAAATGATAATAGTATCATTTATTGTATTTGAGTGAGAATTTTCCATATCTAAAATTTAAAATATTCAAGAGAAAAAAAGAAAAGTATTGAGATATTATTAAATTTTCTTTTAATTATAATATGTTTATCTAAGGGGAAGAAATATATCAAATTCTTATAGTTTTTTGATTTCAGAAGTATTTTCAACTATTTTTTGGAATTTCAAATAAATAAAATTGTGTTAGTAAGAAGGGACATCATTACCTTATTTGAATAAAAATTCAAAATTCATAAGCTAAATTAGAGATTCCCAAATAAAGTGTGTCCTTTTTGTAATTAACCACTCAACGCATCTAATAATATTTTTATATTATTCTTAAATAATAAGCAAACTTTATAATATAAGAAAATTATTATATAATGTACTTAAAGGGATTTTTAGTTTTTCCCTACCTCTAAATAATTAATATATGATTAATTAAATTAAGTATCAGAAAGATATTATCATAAAAATTAGATTGTTTTGAACTCTAAAAAATCTTTTTAATTTGTAAAACTAAGATTCAATATTTTATTATCATTATTTTTTCTATCCTTTGAATAATGAAACAGGTGCATTTTCTTAAAGGAATTAATCAATGTATATAATTTATTATCATTTGAATATGTTTAAATTAATAAAGAAAATTTGATTAACATTAAAATAAATTAAAAAAGAAATGTCAAATTTCTAAAACAGAGTTTAAAAACTGTAATGTGAAGAAGTCAATCATGACAACAAGCCTATTATTTTGATTTGCTTTAACAAAGAATGTTAAAAAAGGAAGGTTTGTTTAACTTGTATTGAAGAATTTCATTAAAATCATAAAGGAGAATTGGCATCAATAGAAGACGTAGAGGCATTTATCAGAAAAAATTGCATCAAATAAAGAGGAGCATTTCAATGTAATGATATATTAGGAAAGTTTGATGAATTTAAAAATGATATCTTAAGCCAATTAAAAGTTTTGGAATTCATTTTAAAAGAAAAAGTACGTCAATTATTTGATAATTTAAATAATACAGAGAATAAATTACAATAAATAGGTGATGAATGCGAGAATGATCTAAATGATCTATAAAACAAATGCAAATAATAAATTGAAGAATTTAAAGGTGAATGGAATAAAAAACTCAATTAATTTAAATCCATACTTACTCCAATATAAATAAATTTAAAAAGATTCGAAAAATTAAGTGAAAAGGATATCGATTTGAGTGCTTAATAAGTAAATATTAGTGTTTTGTACCCTAAATAAACAATTAAATTAACTAAATTAAATTTATCATTGTTAGAAAAAACTTTTCATGATAAATAAATTGAATTAGAATTCTCAATATTCAAAAACATGTACTTAATTTATTCATTTTAAATAGGAATTTATAAGAAAAATTACATAATTGGAAAACAGTTATAGATCACAATAAAATGATAATCTAAAATGATTCTTATCAAATTTAATTACCAGATAATGTGTATTTCAAAGAAGGAGAATGCTACAGTTTGGAAATCAAAAGTAATCAAGATGTCAAATTTAAATTATCAAATGAATAAAGTTTGGAAAATCAACTTATAGGATTCTAATAAACTGATTATGAAAAAGCATCTTTCAAATCTGATGAGAAAATAACAATCATCAGTTAAAGCACAAGTGGATTATTGGTATCTGTTGGAGCATTATTTGAATGATAAAGAGAAATATTATTATTATGCAAAAAATTATTTATCAATTTTTAATTAATTTATCATGAAATTCAAAATTAAAGCTATTATAAAATTTAATAAAGAATGGTATAAACATCTATGGTATCGTTGATAAAAGTTAAGACAAAAAAATTAGAATATAGTTATTGATAATCAGTGATCATAATAGATAGAGAACTAAGGAGCTTTACTAACTTTAGACATCCAGCCTTTATTCCAATCTGATTAGCCAAGAACAGGACCAGGTCTGCTACTATTGTATTTTTTTAGGTTTTTAACAGGTTTTCTATTGGATTATTCTTTAGACTTTTTATCAAAAGTAAAATAGGTAGGGTCATCTGGTGAATAGCTATTAGGACCTGGATAATGAACAACTGGAGATCTAGATTTTGTTTTTTTAATAACATGTTCACTAACTACTCTTGAAGGAGTATTGTAAGCCCCAGGTCCTGGAACATTCATTTATTAACTTATTAGATCTTCAAAATAGTTTGTTCTGTGTTGTTATCTTATTTACTTAATAGATTATATATACTTTAATCTCTAAGATATTATGGGTTCATTCTCTATACTTTTGGATTTGAACTCTTTATTATAATCTGCAGGTCCAGGTCTTGGGTATCTTTTTTCATCTGTTATAATGTCAGAAATAATCGTTTTTCTTTAATTTTACTCAATATATTTGCTTGATTCTTTTGTTTTCTTTTATTCTGTTGGCTCTGACCAAAATGATTAATATTCATATTTAGGGCCAGGAAGTTTTTAATGATATTCTTATAAATCTTCAATAAAAGTTCCTCTTTTTGGAGGCTTGACAGGTTTGGCTAAATTTATGTTCAGTCTTAAATACTAGTCAATCTTTTGACCTTGCAGACATCTGGATATATTTTCATGTCAGGCATTTCTTTCAAACCCCAATCTGTATGATATCTATTTGCTATGGCATATACTGTTTCAATAGGCTCTTTATTTAATGATGCTTCATTATGAACTGTAGGTAGTCTAGGTCTGGACATACAAATTTATAAAAAATAATAATCTCATTTATGAATTCATAAACAAACCATCAGTTACGTTATTCTCTAGTAACTCTTTTTCTTATTTGAAATGAGTAGAATAATTTCTATAATTGATAAAGAATGTTTTATTCTTTTAAAAATAGATAAGTTTAAGTTAAAAATTAATAATAAAGGTTTAAGTGTTTCATTATGAATTAATAATAATAATATATTCAATAAGTAATTTTCTTAATTCTTTATTTTACTCATTTAAATGATATTGAATTAATATCCATAATTGTTATAGGATATTACTTGAAACAAAAATTTTAAAATTGAAAAGCTTTAATATAATAAATCCGTAATCTAAAAATAATATTTAATTGGTTACCTAATTAATTCAAAGTCGATATAAACTTGATTAAAAACTCATTTTATTAAACATTATAATTAAACTATACTAATGCAGAATAATCAACATGTAAGACTTGCCTAAGAAATAACTCCTACTCCCTATGAAGTACCTACCTCTTAGGTTGTTTATCCACAACTTCCTAATTCAAATATGTAAATTGGTTAGCCAATACAACCAATAGTTCCAACTCAACCATTTGTTAGATAAATCCCATTATAATAATAATAATTTCCATAATTCTAATAACAATAATTAGTTACTTATAATCCTACAGCTATTTCATAAGGTATTTAACAAAAATTATTTAAGTCTAACATGTTTATTCTAAATATCCTCACATGATTACATGTGCTTAATGCCAAAGATAAGTTTAAACACAGGTTAATTATGAAGTTGGAAATGGAGCTTATGCAATTGGTGCACTTTTGGCTGCCGTTGGTCTTTGGTTAGGGTAATTTTAAATTTCATTTTCAGATGTTGTTTGATTCCTTGCTTTGTCTAAGATTGTAAAGATGCAGTTCACTTTTGCCCTGCATGTTAGGCTAAAATAGGTAAGAAGAGATTCTTATTTGATTGAAATAAGTAAAAATTTAAAGAGAATATTATAAAACAATTTTTTTTATAGTTTTAAGAATTTTTGTTTGCTATTTATGTATTTTAAGAACTGAACCTGCATAATGATAAAATTAAAACTAAGTTCTAAAGAGTTTTGCAATTTATTTTTTTTTTTTTCAAATAGGAGTTTTTTTTTTAGATATGTTTTAACTAAAACTTTTTTTTTAGATGTTGTTTATGAGACAAAGCATCACTATTCGCAATCTAAAAAATTAAAAAGTTTCCTATAATGGGCATAATTAATTCTATTTATTACTAAGCACTTTTGTCTTAAAGATAATCAGAGTGAATTATTTATTTGTTTATCTATATACAGCTACGATTGAAGTTTCAGCATAAATCAAATATTTAAATAGCATCTTTTTATATAAGAGAATCATTGCACCTTTTCTGATAAAATATATAAAAAAAGTATTTGATAGAGTACAATAAATAATACCTATATTATTGTATTAAATGTTTGAAATAAATGTAGCAATATAATATAAAGTTAATCTTCAAAATATATCATCCTGTTCTAAATGAGATACTGTTTAGGTATTAATTCTTCTTTTTTTATATAATAAATTGATGGATCGTTTGATTTCTTGACTATAATCGTTCAGATATCAACTGAAATATCCAAAGTTTATTTTGATTCATCTTAAGCATCATGATTATTTTCTTAAGTCATTTAGTTTTAATTTTAATTTTATTTAGAATTTCCTTTTCTTACATTTTTCTAAAACTTTTTTTTCTATAGTTTTGCTAATTTTGTTCTAACCCTCTTCATAGCTTAGGATGCATTTTCATTTGCTTCAACAAGTTCATAATGAATTTACTTTAATTAATCAAATGAAAGCTATTCCAATTTAACATCTTGATTTTCTTTAGGTTCCTCCTATTATTTCTCTTCTACTTCTTCTTTATTTTCTTATTATTATTTATCCTAATAGAAATCCTAAGCTTCTGCTTTCGAAACAAATTTAGTTGAACTAAAAAACTATCTCCCCTTAATTTCTACTTATTTCTATATTTTTTTTCAATTTTTTGCTTACACTTTTTCTTGAAGCTCTTAGAACATATTACTTTAATCTAATTAATCAAGTAAAGCATCACTATAGTAAAAAAATAAATATACTTTACTGATTTGTCTTTTGCTCTATCAAATACAAAATATCCACTATTATCAAATTTAACAACATCTTTTTCATTCTTAATATTATAAGGTTCAATCTCATATCCAAAATAGTCAATTTAATCTTTAATTGACTTCAAAGTCTATATGGACTCATTTAATTTCACAAATATATATGGAGCTCCATTAAAATTTACTATAAATATAATAAAACAGCTACAGTCTGCCTCGAAGTCTGCTCTATTTCCCTTTGCTTTTTGAGCTTAATTTTGAATGCATTAGCTTTTTCATTCTCCTATATAAATTTCTAGTTTTCTCATAATTAATAATGAAATTAATTCTAAAATCAATCATTAATTGCATGAGTGTATGAATTTCTCAAATTTTACTCAAATGTTATTTGATAGTTATGTTTAAAGTCTTAAATTGAACTTTCTTAAAAGTTGCAATCAAAGAATTTTGTAAATCAATAAAAAAAGAATTTGGAGAATAACAGTGTTCTACTTATCTTAAAACCTTTTAATAATGATTATAATTCTATATTTAGTCTTAAAATCAAAGGTATTGAAATATAATAGTTATTGTGTATTATTATTATTCAATTGAATATAACAAATATTATAATGAATAGTAATAATGAGAAAGCGAAGATTGACTCAATATTAGATTAATTTTATGGGTTTAAAGTGATTGAGGAAGTACCAGAAGAGGAGAGACAATTTGATTAGATTATTCCACAACCAGATTAAACATTAATTTAAAAGATGCTTGTATGATTATTAAATTATTATTATCATAGGATGATAGTTTATAAAAGAGATAAGAGTTTATCTAAAGTAATGACTGTAAAGAGTATTCATAAATGTTAATAATATCTTAAATAAGAATGGATTTTACAAATGATGATCCATTTCTTAAACATCTTATGAATGTTGAGAAAGCAATAAAGAAAGCAATAAGAAATATCTTGTTGTAATTATAAAAGCTTGAAAATAAACAATAGTTTAAAGAGGCCTGTGACAAATTGATAAAAATATTTTATCAAGATATTAATATTGGATTCATTACATCAACTGGATAAATAAAATCAACAGCCTATGCTTTTATATTAAAGTCTATTATCGAATTAATAAACAGAAAAAAGATTAATTTATAGTTTAAGAAGATTCCTCTTAAAATTACATTAACATTCTTTGCAATTGATTCTCTTTAATAAATTATTCCAGCATAAAAAATATATGATCCTAGAAGTGCCTTTATTAGAAATAACAAATTTTTTAATGATTATATAATCCTATCTTAAACCAATTAAGATGAATTAAGGAGTGGAGTATCAATCTTCTTTGTTTACAGACCTGAAGATGATTAAATATATGCATTAAAAAGAGTAAGATATATTTTAATTTAATTTTAGAGCAAACTATAAGCAACTTAACTTGATTTTTTCTCAGTTTTTTCAGCAACTGCATCCAATACACCAATCACACCAGATATTCGAAAAATTAGAGAAGCCAAAATACTTTCTAAATTAACTCATCCAAATATCTTAAGGTATATTTTAATTTATAACTAATTAAAGACTTTTTGCTTGGTGGATTGAATAAACAAATGATGGTTATTATTTATATATGTAACTTGAATATTGTTCCTTTCCTGGTTATAAATATCAACCAACAGACTTGTTAACATTTTCTTATTATTATCTAAATGTTATGCAAAATGCTGAAAAAATCAATAAAATTAAATCAATTCTAAATTAAATATTAGATGGTTTGGAATACATTCATTAAAGAGGGATAATACATAGAGATTTAAAACCTGAAAATATTTTTGTGACTATTAATATCAAAGGAGATTTATAAGTAAAATATATTAAAAATTAACTGGTTAGGTTGTTTTAGCAGATTTCGATTAGGGAAAAGATGTTAGAGAAGAAAAATTATCTACCATGACTGATGAAAGACTTCCTTAAGAAGAACTTAATTCAATTACTTCTCAAAATACCATTACAACAGGCACTTGTGGTTATTAGACTGCTAATTATGTTAAGGATTCTCATTATAGCATGGCTGATGAATTTTATGCTATTGGAATAATATTATTACATCTTGTCATAGCATTTCCAGGAGAACCAAAAAATAGAAATCATTATGCAAAGACTTTTGTTATGGCTAATCATGCAGAAGATGTATTACCATTATTTGATACATGGGCTAATAAATTTGTTAAAAACAAAAGTATCGATTTTTCATTTACTCATTATCAAAATGTCATGAATCTAGCCAAATTATTGACAAGCTCAAGAAAATTAACTCATGCTGATGTGAGGAAAATGATAAATGAATTATGAGTTTTGTTATGTAACCAAAAATATTTATTTTGTTATGAATTTCATATTAAATATACATATAGAATTTAAATATTGAATAAACAAAATATTTAAATAAACTCATAGGACTTTCTTAGAATTGACTATGTCTTCTTATTATTCTAATTCCTCTTTCTAATATAATCTGATATAATTTTTAGCATCTCTTAATTTTTGATTCTCAGAATCTTCTTCATGCTTTTATATAAATAATTATATCTTTACTTTCTATTCCATCTTGTAAAGACATTAATTTAGATTATTTGACGATAATAATCTTTAAATAAATTATCCAATCAGATTTGGACTCAAAGCACATATAGGATAAAATACAAGAGCACATAAATCTTTAGTTTTTACTCCAGTCTCAAATAAATAAGCCATTTATTCGTTATTCTAATAGATGATCATTACTGTAATAAAAATAAATGCCATGGCTAAATATCTAAATATAGAATAATCCATATACATTTATGATTTGACAATTTTATATTAATCAATTATTGGCTTAAATGCTATCACTAATAAACTTATTGTAAGAATCATAAATTATTGTAATTAATAACCATGAACATATCCATTTTAATCATTTGAACCATAAAATGTATATATTACTGATATGACTATAAAAGTTCCATGAAAACCCCCTTAGATAAATTGAGTTAGTAACATTTTATAAGGATTCTTAGTAGTTCTTACCATCAGATGATAAACTGGTTGACTTCTCAAAATTTCAAAAGGGAAATCCTATAATTTTTAAGATAATTTAATACTTATGCCATACTAAAGAATATGAAAATATAACAAATAGTAAAAAACATCATAATAAAGTGTATAAATTCATTTAACAAATAGTTTTAGGAAAATCTGTTGTAGCATACATAAACAAATTAAATAAAAAACAAAATAAAAGATAAATAATTGATCAGCGAAATTGCTGAGCCTTATCGAATATTATTTAATCTTCCATGTACAATTAAAATTTTTGGTAAGAAACTAAAAGTTGGCATTTTTATATCAAATGCTGTTTCTGTTTGATTTTCTAAACAAATCTACATTGATGGAGTAGTAGTTATATAATTTGTGATGCAAATTAATTCGTGTGATTTTATGATAGATGATAACAAATAGTTCAAATGAGGTTTAGAATTGAGTAATAAAACAAGAGGAATTTTCAGAAAGAAATTTCTAAATTTTTCATTAAGTAATTGATTCTTTAACCCAGTTTATAAGGTTGCATCATCAATAATAAGTAAAACAGGTCTTTCATTCATAAATATGTTAACTTCTTTACCAAACTATTTGATTTACTAAATTATTATTATATATATATACACTATTTTTTTCTATTTAATCAAGAGCAACTTAAAGTTCATCTCCATTCTAACATATCATAATTTAAGGAGTTGTTTATTCAAATAGTCCTACCATAGTTGGATCACTCTCTAAGATTTATGGCTAGTATATATTAAAATTAATTACATCTTTAATATGAGAGTTAATCCAAATTTTATATTAGCATTCTCTAATATCCATGATTTCTTGAGAACAATCATAAAAGTCTTCAATGATTTCAATAAATAAAACAGGTTCAACATCAGATTTTATTTGTTTTAAAGTTTCATCATCAATTTTTTTATGTTAATTAACCATATTTGTTATTTTATCTAAATATTACATTGAAACAATCTTTCTAAAGATAATATTCATTTAATTAAGATTATCTTTAGCATCTAATAAACTTGTAATCTATAATTAAATTTCAGATGTTAATAGGTCTTTACAATCTGTAAATTTTGATCTAAAAACAATAAGATATTATTTAACATCCTAAAAGTATAAATTAATAGAAGAATACTTCTTTTAGAATTTATTCATATCCAAAAAGCACATATTTTTAAGTGACTACTTCAAACTTTGTTTTAAAATACTATTAATTTTATTCTTAATCTTAGATTATTCTTTAAGTTCCATTGATTCCTAATGATAAGCCATAATCTAAGATTCGTTTTTGTGTTGCAATATCCTCTTCACTTTTTTTGTTAGTTTAAAAAGATAAAAGTGCAAATTTGGCTTCTTATTAACAGAAATTCAAATCATCAATATCTTCAATAGGTGTTACTGTAACTAGATCATTTAAATTAATTTCATCAGATTATTTATTTAATAAGATGTTATTTACTACTAAACTTTATCTAGTTAATAGATTTAGATCAGTTAGAATAAATTTTGCTCTGGCCATATTAGTTAATGCATTACTATTAGTAATTTCGATTCTCTTTCCAGATATATCAACACTATAAAAATATAAAAGAATTATAATTACTCTATTAGACGATCATGTTCAGCTTAGAATTTGGAAATCCTATTGATTATTAACATAAGGGGAATTTACATAATTGGAATTCCCCAACTGAAAGTGCACAAAAATTATAAATAGGTTTTCATCTATTCTTCATTCACTTTATCATCTAAATATAAATATTTAGTTTATATAAAATGAGCAGCTAATAAGATTACAGATAAAAGAAGTGTAAACAATATAATTATAATGTTTTGAATATGTAAAGAGAATCCTAATTTTGGATTAATTTTAGTTTTTTCATATGCAGAACTCTAGTCCTATTTTTGTTCTTGTAATGTTTAACCTGTTACAAGAATAAAAATTTCATCAAATGAATTATTGGCTTATAAAATTTAAATTTTATTTTATTGTCTATATATAAGTTAAAATTAATATACTAGAAATCTAGACAAAATTAATTTGTTTCCATTTTCATAGTAACTCTAACCTTTTTATTTTCAGAATCAAATTCTAATTTGCCTTCAAGTTATCTTCCAACATTAAAGTTTGCAACCCCTGCTCTACGAGTAATTGTTTAACCTCCAATTTCTAATAAGGGTATGTTTTCAGAAACTCCAGTAGTTCCAACTAGAATTCCATCTGTAGGGCATTTTTGTCTAGGTAAGAGTTTAATCAAATGACCAGGTTATA